TGGTGATGGAGATATGAACATACCTAGCCAAGCTTCAAAGGATGATTCAACGTTTTTTTATTTATGTTGAAACTCAGCCAGTAAGAATGTATCCTGGGAAATTTAACAAAAATAGATAAAAAAAAACGATTTTTCAAAAGCTCAAATAGGAATAGTAATCTAGTAGTGTAAACTCTGGTTTTATTGGTGTGTTTTTCATATCAGATGTAATTTAACCTGTCGACACATTACATCGATATTTTAAAAAAAAGTTTGACTTCCTGCATTATCGGTCCCATCTTTATATTAACTTTTTGTCTTACAATCGCTCAAGGAAACATAACTCAAAGTTTAGCCCAGGCACCTTTATGAGTGCTGATTGTCAAAAAGAATCCATTCAAATATGAATACACCGTGCAATGCCAACAAGGTCTTCACACGGACCGTTTCTGTATAAAAAAAGAATCGCTGATTGGTTGAAAAGGAATCTATTTGGTGACGCGATGGTCCAAGCAGAGGACCTGAGATATACCTTATGTGGCAAGTCAATCAATCTCTTCAAAATGGCGGAACTAACAGAAGAAGTAGAAATAGGAGTGGTGTGAAATACAATAGATTAGAGAGTCTCACTGGATGCCAAGCGCTAAAAACAGAATCCAATATATCTTCAATGTATGTATGTATGATGTATGACAGTATTTGGTCCGTTGCAATTTGGAGCGCTACTCCGGTTTTGATGAAATTTTGTCCCAAGATCGTAATACGGAAAAGCTTTGAAATTTTGAAAGCCGATCCAGTGCCTATAAGAGGAAATTTCAGTAGAGCTTTGAGCGAAAAACTCATGATCTCTCGTTGGTTTTGCGATGGGTTTGAACTTGGAACCACTTTTTCGGAACACTTCCTCGAATTGATACTTTTAGACCTCTTTATTGTATAGTTAAAACTTTTTTGCTGGCGCATCTCGTTTGCTAATTGCAAATGGAATTTAGTGATCTTAAAACTTTCGAAAATTGAAATTTTTGTACGTTTCTCAAATCCAGCAGTCATGTTGATACCTTCAAAAGCATACAAACATGGCGTACCCCTGGTCTCATTGGATCTGCATTCTTTGATATTCGAAACACACATACATATAGGTATATATATATATGAGCACTAGTCATTACTATATATATATATAGAGAGAGAGAAAATGTTTATGCGGAGAAAGGTATATAACAGAAAGTAGGAGAATAATGGGCAAAATCCGCAAAAAGAAGGAAAGTGGATTCGAGCAGAAAATAGGATAGGTAACCCGAGCGATACGTATTTCTGCTGGTTGGCTTCATCAGGCTCGAAATGAATGCACATATGCAACTACAAAAGTAGACACACATGTCCATACATCTGGATGAGGGTGTAACCTGAGGAAACGAAGATGAAGAAGGAAAAAAATCACACACGAATTCCACAACAAGAGCCAACCTACACATTGTAGTATAAAATGGCTAGAAGATCTCGAATTTTCAAGACGACATCTAACCACAACCACGCGGCCGGTTATACCCACTTGCTGTGGTACTTCAAGCCCAAAGGATCTACAAAGAGATCTTACTACAATGTGTAGGTTGGCTCTTGTTGTGGACTTCGTGTGTGATTTTGTTCCCTATCCATCTTCGTTTCCTCAGGTGACACCCGTATCCGGATGTATGGGCATGTGTATCTACTGTTGTAGTTGCATATGAGCATTCATTTCGGGTCTGATGAAGCCAACCAGCAGAAATACGTATTGCTCGGGTTACCTATCCTATTTTCTGCTCGAATCCACTTTCCTTCTTTTTGCGAATTTTGCCCATTATTTTCCTATATATATACAACTACTTGTTAATTGGGAAATTGGAAAAACTTTTAGGCTTAAGTTGACTCTTTTGACGATAAAGTCAAGCTTTTGGCATTCTCTATGGAGCCATCATCAGGATTTCGTCGGTGAGGTTGCAGCCACAAGGTGTTTCAGAAAGAACGTAGAGAAGATCGAACTTGTGTTCAGTATAAAAACAAAAGGACGGGGACATTGGGCTTGTTAAAAAACTACAGATACCTTCGTTAACAGTTAAGAAAAAATAAAAATTATATCAATACACCCGAACAAGTTAAAAATATTACACGTGGGGAAACTATATATATACAGGGTTATCCAAATTAAGTGTCCACCATTAGTAACTTTGTTATTAGTGAAAATACAAAGTTGTTTGAATTAGCAAACTAGTAGCATTTTTAACGCTGGTAAAAATGAGAAATAAAAAAAAACAATTGAGAGTCGTTATTTTGATTTTTTTCAGTAAAATAACATTTTTTTAAATGGAAACCCCTGTATATTATATTTTTTTCTGTTAAAGCATCAAATTTTAAACAAAAAAGCTTACAATAACTTTTCTCCTAGGTTACAAATTGTTGAAGTTATGGCCTCCAATCTGAAACAATTAAATTGTATCGACAAACTTTATTTTCAACATCAACTTATAATATTACAAAATACAATAACAATTTTTTTTGAAGAAGATGCTCGAAAACACCACCTTGTTCTTCAATACATTTTTGGGCACGTTTTTCAACTGCTCGAACTGTCTTAAGTATGGTCCTACCATCTATCTGGGTTATCTTTTCCCTAACTGCAGTCTTTAACGCGTCAAGGTTATCGTACCTTCGCTTGTAAATTTAGTTCTTTAAGTAACCCCACAAGAAGTAATCAAGTGGGTTTAGATCTGGTGATCTGGGAGGCCACTGTATTGGGCCATTTGTTCCTATCCACTGATCATTAAAAGTAGTACTTAGAAAATGATAAGTACCTCTGGAGTTGTGGGCAGGTGCGCCATCTTGCTGAAAATGCAGATGATGTCTACTTATAAGATCCAATTCGTCTAAGAAATTAGTCAGAATTTCTGACATAAATTCCACATATCTTTCACCAGTTAGGGTTCCCTCATAAAAGAACGGGCCAACAATTTTTGAACCAATTATACCGCACCAAACGTTGAAACTGAAACGGACTTGTGGGCCTCTTGGATGTACTAACAAAAGATTTTCTCTTGACCAACAATGGTGGTTTTTTCTATTAAACATTCCAGAATTTGAAAAATTTGATTCATCTGTCCATAAAAGGTAACGAAAGTTATTTACATTTTGGCGACAGGAGCTAAGATACCAATGGCAAAAAACAAGTCTTCTCTCTGGATCCCCTGCCAAAAGCGTTTGAACTGGTCGGTACTTATACGGAATAAATTTGTATTTTTTTAAAATCCTTTGAACAGTACCATAACTGAAATTAGAGTCCTTGAGAATATCTGCTATTGAATTCTCACGATAAGCTTCAAAATATCCAATAACTGCAATTTCCGTGGCCTCGCTTATTATGAATTCTTTTTTTGCCCTTGTTTTAGCAAAAACATTTTCGTTGCCCCTAAATTTTCGATAAAGTCTCAGAAAATATCGTTCATACGGTTGAATGCGAGCGGGATATAATTCTCTGTAGTATTCTCTTGCTCTCAAGGAGGATTTTCTGCACACTAAATAGCATTCTAACATATCACACTTTTCTTCATGGGAGAACATTTTTCTTTAAATTAATGACACAATAAAGCTTATAAACAAGTATTTACACTAATGTTTGACATTATTTGATTTTATCATTGTTTTCCAAAGCCTTCTAGTTGCGAGTATGTCCAGTTTAACAATTTGTCGCTTATCTTAATGCTGTCAAATCGCGAACGCCATGTTGTTTTCATAGCCGTCTTAATATTATAATACTGCAAATAATTAAAAATATTTATCGTTATTTTGACTTTATTTTTGACTTTAGCGGAAAAGTCATTATGAACTTTTTTGTTTAAAATTTGATGCTTTAACAGAAAAAAATATAATATACAGGGGTTTCCATTTAAAAAATGTTATTTTACTGAAAAAAATCAAAATAACGACTCTCAATTGTTTTTTTTTATTTCACATTTTTACCAGCGTTAAAAATGCTACTAGTTTGCTAATTCAAACAACTTTGTATTTTTACTAATAACAAAGTTACTAATGGTGGACACTTAATTTGGATAACCCTGTATACATATATATATATATATATATATATATATATATATAGCCAAATGTTTGGTGTGCTTTGATAATGGATAAAGTTCTTGGGCAGTGGTTTGGTTTCCATTTTTATTCCTAGATATTCGCAAGTAAGCCTTTATAAACATATGTTTTGATAAATAGCAAGATCCTAGGTTCGTCTTTCCCATGAAATTAGTTCGTTTAGACTTTCAATTGAAAGTGTGTCGTATAAAGACGTTATTGATTTTAGTCGCACAAACCGGACCCCTTTCAGTTGCCTAAATCTATTTTCCGCTATACTTTTTCAATTCTTTTTAACACGCTTTTATTAGCTTTGAGCATACTTTTCACCAATTTCCACAAGTTTGATAACAGCTTTCCATTATCCTTATTAATAAAATTCTGTAAACAGCAGATATGGGTCATTCTCATAATATCCATACTATTCCAGTAGAAGTTCCATTAAAAATATATAATTGGTTAGACAATTACGTTTTTCATATTTTTATATTTGTAGTGTTAGTTTTTACTTCAAAAACTATATTTCCGAGATCACTGAACTTATTTTCTTCCAAATTTGAAACAGGTTTTCACGGAGGTAGTATCTGATTTTCACTGAGGTGAGAATAACTCCAGGAGGTGACTGACAATGGTTGAAAATACAAATAGACAGAATTATCTCTGAATATGGATTAAGGGACAGTTCACGGAGGTGAGATCTCACCCGTTGTGAATATAAAATGAGGAAGTAAAAAATAAAGATTGAAGTGATGATAATCTGGTAATATTCAGTAAGGTCAACTTTTCCCTCTTCTAGCTGTTTGAAAGATGACTTGATTATCCATCAGAGACACAAATAGTCGCCTTTTGTTGAGAATGACCCATATGTTAATAAAAGGCCACGCATTTGAAATGTCGCCTTACGAATAGCGAAACTACAAGCCTCTGTAGCTCAGTGGCAGAGCACTGGTCTTCTAAATCCGGGGTCGTGAGTTCAATCCTCATAGAAGGCAGAGTGCGGCATACTATTTTGTTATTTTTTTTAACACGTTTTTATTATCTTGTCCTGCATCTATGTATATGTATCTAACGGAATCTTTGAATTGAATTGATAATGTTCACCAATTTCCAGAAGTTTGATTAATGTCCACAAAAAACTAATCGATAAATCGAACAAAAAAATGAAGAATAAAAACTAATAAAAAGAAATGGACCCCTGTTAGAATGGTTCAAGCTATTGATGCCTTTCGCAGGAAATGAAGTGTCTGCGATTTTCGACACTAAGGAATTAAACCATTTGTGTTTTAAATACATGTGTGGCCGGAATATTACTCATAAATAAATACATTTTGGAAAAATCTATTTATGGGATGTTATATGACATTTAAGGGCACATTTCTAAAATATTGGCCATTATACAGGGTGTCCCAATTTCGACCTACATATAAAAATATTGATTTTTTAAATGGAACGCCTCAAATTTTATTGCATATTTGGATAAACCAAATCAAAAGAAGAAAATTGATATAACATACTATGGGGTTTTGGTAACTAGCTACTGGGATATAAGGTGTTTCGTCTAGAAAAACCCCCACTTCGGCAACCCCTCAGTCCGCCATTTTGAAATTTGGAGTGCTGAATTTTGTATCAAAAAAAACTTACACACCTGTTTTTATCTTATTTTTTATTTTTTCGAATTTTAATTTTTGCTCATACAGGTTGATCAAAAACACAAATAGTAGTTTTTCTCAAAAATTTCATATGCATCACCCTCTATATTTGTGCAAGTTTGGATTCAATTTTTTTGATACCAGACACAAGGGTTTTTACGGCTATTTTTTCGGTTATTGGCACGTCCTTTATGAAACGGCTTAATTCCCTAAAATATGGCATCATCCTTGGACACAAATAAATTGTTGATCAGTTACAAACTGTCAAAATTAGCTTTGTGAGCATTATATTAAAAACGTGTTTGAAAATGAATCTTTCTAAAGAAGAAATGGTGAATATGGTGTGAGTTTCCTAGCATCTCGCATTTATAAGCAACGGTACCCTAATATACGACTATATCTTGGCCTCCTAGATCACCAGTTATGACACAGATGGACTTCCTCATAAGGGGCTACGTTAAGCAAGAGGTTTATAGATATCAACCATCTACTCCGGAAAATATTAAGGAAAGGATTAAGGATGCTTTTCTGAACATAAGGGAACACATGCACATGCAACGGTCATTTATCTAAAGACTACGGCTGTGTATTCAACACGGTGGAGATATTTTCGAGCAGTTTTTTTAGATTAGGTCTTGAGTAGTGATAGTTGTTTGTTTATGTTGTTGTTATAGTTGTTTTTCTCTATTACGATTGAAGCTGATTTATATTGTTCTGATTGTTATTAGTTTCTACGTCAAATCTGTACTCTTAGTGGCAATATGGAACTAGCCCACTGTTTGTCTTTTGTTTCCATGGATGATTTGATTTTGTTCCTAAATTTTGGTGCATTGTTCTATTAAAAACTTAGTAACTCAAAATCGATTGATTTTATCTGAATACAAAAAAAATTATAAAAAATTGAATTCAAACTTGCTTAAGTATACAGGGTCATACATTTGAAATTTTTGAGAAAAACTACAATTTGCGTTTTTGACCACCCTGTATGAGCAGAAATGAGAATTCAAAAAAGTAACAAATAGGATGAAAGCTGAGGTGTATTGTTTTATACAAAATTCAGCACTACAAATTTCAAAATGGCGGATTGAGGGGTTACCGAAGTGGGCGGTTTTTCTGGACAAAACACCTTATATCTCAGTAGCTAATTATCAAAACCCTATAGTATGTTATATCAATCTTCTTCTTTTGAATTGGTTTATCTAAATATGCAATAAAATTTGAGGCATTCCATTAAAAAAATCACAACTTCAATATGTAGGTCAAAATTGTATATTTGCCAATATTTTATAAATGTGCCCTCAAATGTTATGTATAACATCCCATAAACAGATTTTCCCAAAATTTGTTTATGAGTAATATTTCATCCACACATGGATGGGCCACCCTGTATATTCTGTATCGTTGCACAAGAAAAAATCTTAATCGATGAGATTGACAATTCTTGCTAAGAGTCGGGATTTGGAACATATATCCAGGGCACTATTTCTAATACATGTGCTCATTTCATATGCGGATTATAATCGGTGAACAAAGACGCTTATAAGTATTACCAGTATTGTAATAAACATCAAGTATTGCGAGTAGCGCATCAAAAAACAAAGTGCAGCGTATAAATGTATATATTTTGTGAGTGAATTCAAACAAAGACGGGCAAAATCGAGCGGAGACCCTGGGAACGTGCGATGCTCTTTGCTGAAGGTCGAACGAATGAATAACAAACATGTCGCAGTGTCTGGCTATATCAATATATATGTACACATTTAGCGTACATATATATGTTTGCAGAACGAAAATATTTTTTTACTGTTCGCGAATATTCAACCTTTGTTTCTTTTATGTAATTTGTTTTACACGTAAATACGTTTATCGCTGTAACAAAGCCGTTGGCTTTGCTGCATTGCAGAACAATATCATTTGACCTACGTATCGGGCGAATTAGCATTCAGCAGATAAACAGATACAAAGAAAAATGAGTCTGAAATCATTTTAACAGAGCATTCATTTTTATCTGCATGGCCGTTCTAATAATAAGGTACTTAATAAATCTCTGATGTGACCTAGGTTAACGTTTTTACGCTTGAGAGGTTGGAACACTTGCGGAACCAGTCTTACGCAATCTTAACAAAGTAAACTTCCACAATTATTGGACTGGTGACATCATAGAGTAGTGGTGGTTTATCCAGTCTCATTTAAAATTGGTACAGACAGTTTACTGTCTTGAAGTAAATAGAAAAAGCTTGCATTTGTGACAGGTTCTGTTTTATAATCACATTTGCTGGATGTCCCTTCACATTAATCAAAAGGTTACCCGGTACAAATTTGTTTAAACAATTTTTTAAATAGACTACAAAAAACGGTTTTTCCAAGTTTCCAAGTGTCTAAGCTAAAGTTTAAGCTTTCTCATAGAAGTCTTTTTAGGCTTAGTTCATTATGAAGCGTTATTATTTATTGTTCAATGACGTGATTCGAGCCACGGGCCACGTTTGAACTTAAATTTAAACACTTGGCAACCACAAACATGATATATTGTAACTGAGTTATCTCAATTTTTTTATGTTATATGTCGGTAGTTCTATGCACCGCTGAAACATATTTCACACATCATAGATTTCTCCGTACATTTGCACTTAAAACTTAATAAGGTAGAGAAATGCTTTCGATATGGGTATTTGCTTCTGCTGTCTGGGTTCACTGGCGAGCTTGCCGGTCTTGGTAAGTGGTCTGAACTTACTGTCGCATCTGACGCGTTGCATCGTCAGGTATAGGGGAGAGGCGATGTTGCCAAATAGACTACCGGTAGGGCAAGGGAAATGTCTACGGACTAATTGAGTGGGAATATTTGACTGACTTGATCCATTTAATTTCTCTGTTATACATGTTCGTAACTAACTTATTTCTCAGAGAGTGTAGCTTGTGATGAATATAATCCTTTGTGATGACTGCGTTGCTTAGGAAGTGGAGAGTCAACCTACTTGACGCCACTTTTTGTTCAGAAGTGTTTCAATTTTTGTTAATCTCAATCCAACTCATCACAAAAAAGGATCTAAGGCCCGTATCGTCAGTCGTCCCTACAATTGTAGGGCGCCTTTATGGCCTCCTTGATTGTCATAGTTTTCTACTTCGCCGTGTCAGCGCTCTATTTTGAGGTTATGTCACAAACATCTATTTGCATCAAATTGTGCTTGTTTTTGAGTTATATCATGTTTTATCGGCATGAAATTTCCTTCAATTTAAAAAGAAAACATATCTTCACAACAGTAGAGCGCTGACGCTGACACGGGACAAGTGTAGTCTAGACATTTTTGAAGGAGAGAAAGGCGTATGATAATCAAGGAGGCCATAAACGCGCCCTACAATTGTAGGGACGACTGACGATACGGGCCTAAGACCGACGCTTACAACTACTGGCCTATAGCTCTGCTTTCTGTTATAAGTAAAGTGATGGAGATGTGCATAAATCGCGAGCTTCTGGACTACCTCGAACGTCACAGCTTGATTAGCTACAGGCAGTATGGTTTCCGGCACCAACGATCCACAGGGGACCTACTAGCTTACGCCACGCAATTGTGGAGTAACCTCATCCAGTCTTATGGTGAGGCAGATGTCGTTGCTCTTGACATCACGAAAGCGTTCGATCAGCTGTGGCACGCTGCCCTCTTAAGCAAACTTCCAGCCTATGGCCTCCAAGAAACGCTTTGCAGATGGGCGGCTGACTTTATCTCTGGCCGCAAGATTTCCGTCGTAATTGACGGGTTCTCGTCTTCATCCCACAACATCAACGCGGGTGTTCCCTGCACGATCAACCCAATCCACAGCTTCGCTGATGACAGCTCTCTACATGCAGGAATTCAGAGTGACAAGCCGATCTCTGCCACTGAGCTGGAAAAAAGAAGACTAGCGACGACTTCCTCTCTGACAAGAGACCTGGAGGTTATCACTGCTTGAGGACGCAACGATCTTGTACAGTTCAATGCTTCTAAAATACAGTACTGTACTTTGACGAACAAAAAGCGTCCTAGCGCTCATTCAGTTTCGATGGACGACCGAGTTCTGCCAAAAAGCCATTCATTTCGGCTGGTCGGAGTCCAGATCACCGAGGACCTGATCTGGCACGAGCACATCTCGTCAATAGCTGCAGCTGCTGGGCTATTTGCTCAGGGCTAAAAAGTACTTTTATCCGCATGACCTTCTCACTCGATGATGTCCAGAGTAGGGCGGTCCGACTGATCGATGACTCTTCTCTCACAGACAGTCTCGGGACTCTTTCGCATCAGCGGGCCGTCAGCAATCTAGCTCTTTTCTATCGCTACACCAGAGCTCTCTTCCATGATGACGCCGCGCGA